TTTTTTTTTTTTTTTTTTTTTTTTTTGGAACTATGAAACCATGTACGAGTTTAGGAAAATTGTTTTAAAACTTGTTTATCTGTCTGCATGCAATCATTCAATATGCGCCGTAAATCCATATGTGCGTTTGATACCATTGTTATTTCTGTGCCTAGAGATGAAAAAAAAGCAAGCGCAATAATAGTAGTAAAAGCTATTTCTTTTGCCCGACGATTGACAAACGTTTACCTTGTCGAAATATTTTTCCCAATCCATTACTCTCTTGCGTATTTTTTGACAAATCGTTAAAATCAATTACTACGATAGTAATAACAGTAAATAGTCTTTATTACTAACCTCCTGTTTTTATTGTGCGTGGATTGTGTTTCGAGGTTTTTATCATACTCGCGAAAGTATTTGAAAATTTGTTAGAAAAATTTTTTAGTAAATATGTTATATGCATAACACAAAATTCTCAGAAATTTCATTAATTAAATTTAAAATCTAAGGATATAATAAAATTTAATTTAATGAAATTAATATATTAATAAAAAATTATAATCGACATCTAATAAAAAGTCAATCCAATTAGAATAGAGATTATTCACTATGCAGCTGATGAGTGAAAAATATATAATATACAATCTGAATAATAATCTTAAACGTTTGAGATAGTCCTCTTAAATATTGTGATTTATTAATATACTTATATACTTTTTAATGATTTTTACAAAGTATGTACTTTTAATAAATATTATTAATAGTAATCATACTGTTTTGTACACCTACGCATATAACATATGTATTAAAATTACCTGTAAATGTTCAAGTTCTTTCGCATAAAGTACAGGATGTGAGCAGAAATTTATAATGTGGTTAACATAATTTATTATTAACGTTGCAGTTTTATGGTTAATACAAATATAGTAATAAAATTTTACGGTTAATACAAATATAATGTCCTATTTTTTATGTCTATAATAAACGCATAAATGTCTCATTGAAATTTCTGCATTTTAGTTTTCAAATAAAATGATGATATTATTTAGTCTAACTTTTAAAGTTTTTATTGTAATAAATAGACTGTGGATATTTATACCTATGTTGTGTTATAAGACGTACTTCATAAATATTTTATATTTCTGCTTGCATATTTCGTGCATTTCTCTGCAGTTTTTCATCCTTTAATTCCCCACGAACGTATAAAAGTTCACGGTCTGGCAATTAAATAAACAGTATAATAACGCGCGTCATTCAATACCTGAGCGCTAAGAAAAAAAAAATTAGCCTTTTTTAAACATACCTCGAATCAACGAAATTGAATAGTCTTTCAAAATTAACGTCGCTCGTATCACACTTGATAGATATGTCAAGTACGCGACATCACGATTTGACAACTCGAAATCGCAAAAATCTAGCATTTCCCGGAAGAGTTTAGTGCACGAAGATATTTTATAATCGGCTAACAAGATGATCCAATATCGTCATTCATACGCTGTAACTTTAAAACCATGCTAAAACACTTTTACGAAAAAAGCACGTGACTCGCATAATAACAAGCTTGCCCGCGACACGCCGGATATGTAAATGCAGTGCAAGTGAACACACGGCTATCCGCGCGTGCTTTCGAATCAACATAGCTGGGATGACAACGTAATTCAGCGCGCGTATCCTCGTCCCAGCAGACATTCTACGTTTCGGCTGCATCTCGAAACGCCACGCAATAATATTTTCAAAATTGTTATTTCGAACACCGAGCATTTATTGAAAAATCAATGTTGGGAGTGATTCACTTGCCAGACAATTATTATTATTATTATTATTATTATTATATGTAGAATGTCGAGCTGCGTCGATCAGTATATAAAGAAAAATACGTGACTCGATTTAGAAAAAGTGGAGTTGACCTTAAAATCTCGGAAGGAGAGATAAATATAGATAAATATATACAGTAGTTGCTCTAAGATGTGTCCAAATTTTATTTCGAAGTTTTTTTTTTAGAGATAATTATAACTCTGTCAAATAGGACTCTGCATATAGACGGAGGCAAAAAGACATATGATTTTATTGGAAGAAAGGATCTAAAGGTGATCTTCGAATTTTCAAAACTCTTCCAGCTACAAAAACAAATTGTCACTGCCATATACTATAACTGTATGCTGTATGTTGAAAAATCTTCCTGAACGAAGCTTTTCTTGTCTTCAAAAATAACGGGAGATATTCAAGCTCTAATTCTTATCGAACCACCCTGTACGATAAACCGCGAAACGCTGAATTAGAAAATTTCAATTTTGACAGAGTCGTTTAAATTTTCAGCCGACCTCCGCTGAGAACATCTACTTCCTTCTTCTGTTTGATGCTTGCCCGTGATATCTGGCTGGTACCAAACGCTAGCTGAGACATTTCCAATAAAATAATTCCGTATGCTTCTCAATGTGCCTGCCAGACGAAACGAGACGCGTCGAGATTTATTTATGAAACGCTTTAACGTGAGGTGTCCAATGAAACGACAGTGACATGAGAATTGTATCGTATTTCCAGTCTGGCTGATTTCACTTGTTACTTGGAATGATTATCTCTAGAAATTGTGTCTAAAGGAGAAAATTGGAAATTAGAGAAATTAGAAAAGCTCCGTTTTAAGATTCGAAATAAAACTATTTTATTCATCGAGTACATTAGAAATCTGAACTGTTCTTTAAATTGTAAATTATCATGCACTAAGTTTCGGGATTAAATTGTTGAACTATTGCAGATTTTTTTTTTATTAAGTTTCGAACATAATCAGAATGGTCAAAATAAATTGGTAAATTAACTTCTTCAGAGAAATTTTCTAAAAGTTTTGCAATTTGCGTTGCTCCAGAGATAGATTCTTTTCTTATTCTTTGTATTTTAATTCCTTTGATACAAATTGTTGCTTACAACTCTTAACTGATGGTATCGTTGAACAGAGCCAAATATCAGTTGATTAAAATGAACGAATTTTAACATTTATATTATATTGAAATTTTCTCAAGAGATCAATTTTTTCAAAAAATACCCACCTTCAAAACTAACTAGATTGAAACTAAACGTTTCTACGTCTACGGCTACAGTTAACTGCTTTTTGTATTTTGAAATATTCCCGAGGAGGAAAGTATGATTCCCAATTAATTTCCCAATTTGTTGGATGCAATTGATTTCGTGTCTCAATTTTATTCCACCTTTTAACGTGGAAATTTCTTTTAAAAACGAGCCAAGAATTTCCATTGAGTTATCTGCTTTAATTGGACAACAGGTCGGCGTTCGGTACACCGATCTCTACCGGAAGACCAGCAACGGTCGAAGATACGTCGGCATCGTTGCCTCTCAGCGGGATGCAGGAGGAATTGCACACGATACTCAAGGAACTGCGATTCATCACGGATCGCATGAAAAAGGCGGACGAGAGCGACGAGATCATTAGCGATTGGAAATTCGCCGCCATGGTGGTGGACAGGTTCAGTATATTTTCTACACGTTGCTTCCTTGTTTCTTTCAAAATGAAAATCAAAATGAACAGTTCAACACGATCAAACTATCAACGATATAATAAATCCTTCAATTGATAATTATTGTGTAATTGATGATTTAAAAATAATTGCCGTGAAATTGAAAGTACCATTGTTACAAAATTTTTCAATGTGAAAATGCATGAAGTATTTTCCGCAACGTTAAGTTGCGTCGATTAATTAAAATAATGAATTGTTTCTCACGTATTTTCGTATATCGTCCGCTACGTATACAGACGGCTATTTATTTTTCAATAATAAATTTAATTTTTATACCTGTGACTTCATTTTATTACTGCCTTTATAAAAAGAGGTATGAAATTTCGATAAATTTATACATTATATTTATTGTATTTATTTATGCATTATATTTCAATATAATATATATTGCATTTCAATATACAGTGATTTTTATTAGTATTCAAACATCATGGTATTCAAGAGATTATTAAATTAATTGTTTCTTTAATATATTAAAATAATCATCCTAAAAATATAAATTTTCTTTATTTAATGTACATAAAATCGCAAAACAATTTGGATGACAAGGAAGCTGTTTCCATTATTTGATATGAACTTAATGTAACTTGTGATTTTGAACTTTATTATTTAGTAGAACCATTTTTCACGCAAAAAATTATGTGCGTTAAATGAATAAAATTTACAAAGAAAGACAAGACAAAATTATACAGAAATAGATGTATAAAGCAGTAATTTTTATCAACACTGTGATATTTAAATACTAATAAGAATTACTGTATTTATAAACAGTTAAGTAATCAATGATTATCATCATTAAAAATTTTATCAACACATTTAGCCTGTATTTAAAAATCTTACTAATTATAAATTTGTTTCTTAATTACAGGCTTTGTTTGATCGTCTTCACGTTGTTCACGGTTTTGGCCACGATAGTGATATTGTGTCGTGCGCCACACATAATCGTCCAATAAATAGACTGCCCCGGTCAAGTCACCGAAAAAATGCACAAAAAATGCCAAAGGTAAAATCACTTTCGTATCGTTAATTTCAATTCTTCATTTTGTTTTGTGTCTATTAAAGTAATTCTTTTTTTTTATATTGATTTTTATATTTACTTTTACATATACCATATTTTTATGTATACCATATTCTTTCCTCATATCATTAATCCTTGCCTTATTTAGGATATTTGATCCTTGAAATAATTTTTTTGAATTTCACCAATAATTAATTAAAAGTTACTTTAATTAAATATATAATGACGTCTGCTATCATTACCTCGTGTGTCTTTTAATTTGAAATCTTATTATAAGAATTATATTTTTCAAGATTTCATATAACATTGATCTCGAATCTTATAAAATCGTTGTAAAACTATATTTACGTTGCAAGTGGACTGCGAACTTCTATGAATTTTTAAATTTTTAGAAACATAATTAAAGAAATGGAATCTAAATAGAAATTTCTTTCTTCCAGTAAATATTACGATAAATGTCTTATTTTAGATATTTTATATATTTTTACATATTGTGTGCATTTTCGAACGTCCAAATTTTTTACAAATGCATAGAAATTCGCGGTTTAATTAAGACAATAAAGAATCAAATACAAATTTCTCTCTCTGTAACCTCCCTTTCCCATCTTTTTTTTTTTAAATCATATAAATCTGATAAAAGAAGAGTATAACGTTCCAAAAAAAAAAAAAAAAAAAGATCGAAATTACGTTTCCGATTCCGAACTCATTTGAATATTTCAACACTCAGTGACTCGTGAAAAATCGTGAGATTAATCAAACTTTATTTCACAAATTTATATACACATTTCTCCGCGTACGACATAGAACGTTATTTGTTGAAA